ATAATTTTAAAAGGAAAGAGATTCTTAATAGATAAGTTTGACTTACAAAAGAAAAATTTTAAGAGGAGAGAGATTCTTAATGGGTAAGTTTGTATGGTTATAAATAGGTGAAGTCTCTATAGCGTTAGGTATGAGAAAAAGATGTAAGAGAGTTGTAGGGTTTTGTGAGATAGACACCCATAGAGTATTAAGGCTCTACGCTTATGGGTGTGTATGTTTATTATGAGTGGACTAGAGGAAACTGAGAGAATCCACATAGGTATGATGTATGGGAGCATATGGGTATGTGTTTGATTATGTTGAAAGGGTGCACAAGGGTTTGAGTTTGTGTTTTGTTTGGGTTTAGAATACTCCATAGGACTAGAGGAGATTGCGAGTGTCTTATGAGTATTGATTATTGAATGAGGTTGATGATTTGATGTATGTTTGTAATTTTCTACAACTAGTGGATATTATTTTTTATTCGTGAATGTAGGTTAATTGGACCGAATCACGTTAAATTATTATCTCTTATTTGTGTGATTTTGCTTCCGTTGATGTAATTATATTAAAAGCTTTTAACCCAACATTTTAGATGGGAACGGGATGAACCAATCCAATGAACCCATCCTAATGGGAAGATCTTCTATAAACATTTTTGTATAGTGTGCTTTACGTAGAGGACAGTGGACTTTTCACATGGGATAATGTGGGTCACACTTAGTATGTATTTGTCTACACTTTTTTTTTATATTTTCATTCTCGATCGGGAGCCAACATAGATGATGTAATTTCATCATCATAATTCTTTCTTTAAATTGTACGCGTTTTTGAATTAGAGATAGCTTTAGTGCCTGAGTTTATTATCAAGTTTTTAACCACAAAAAATCTCCAAATTAATTATATAGTGTTCCTGTCTCCAGTTTTTGTATCGTGTTCTTGTCTCAGGCTTCAACATTTAACCTGACCATCCCACTTTGCATTAGTATCATTACGCCGAAGAAAGTCGCAAGGCCCAATTCTTGACTGGAAAAAGAGCCTAAAATGTATTAGAAAAGGAAGCCCCATCAATTTTGGGCACGAGAAGTTAGAGACGTCTAAGCCCAAAGCCCATATGTTTCTTCCAAGGCTCTTCTTACAGCTAGAGAGAAATGATGAGCAGATCTCCAACATGGTAGATTAGTATATTGATAGTTTTGTCGAAAACAAGTTTTTTTTTTTTATGTCAAATAGATTATCACATTTCTAATAAATTAAAATTGGAAGAATGGATCAAATTTGCAAGTACTATTGATGAATGGGTCATAATTGAACATCATTTTTTGTCACCATTCACCTCGTTTTTCTCCTTTAGCTCATGACCTTTTGCATCAGGAAACATGTTCTTTTTCACCTTTGTTTCTAGCATTTTTTCATTTTCTTTTGCTTTTCCTCGAATCAACTTGTAAATTTGACCACTTTCTCTTTGCAATGATAGCTTCACAAGTGTGGAGATTATTGCTAAAAATTATTGTCGATTGAAAGCAAGGCATCAATTATCTCTTTTCCTTGAATCAATTTTACACTGTTTCACTAATAAACATGGATAAATATAAAAATTAGGAAGTCACGCGGGAATAGATGATATTTTATGCAATTAACCATTTACTGCAAACTTAAGGAACTGTTGCCATAATTTTCTTTAATTCGAAAAGGTTCTTGCAACAATTTTATAGAGCAGAAAGCGATAGAGATCGAATGCATAGCGGAATGGAAATGGTGATTACTGTAAAAGTTGGGATATCAATTGCTTTTGGCTGAAGGCTGTTTTTTGGTGTCTTCTTCAGGGGATGCAAATCTTTTCTCAGTGCCAGACTGCTAGTTTTGCTCAGCTATGGTGCCTGCACCTGACATGCAAGAAATTGCGAAGAGAATGATGAATGACTATCACTTTTTTCTAGTGTGCGCCCTTTTACCAGTTTATTATTGATTGTTTGCAGATACGATAATATATGTCAGCTTGGCAGCAGTGCAAACTTTTTTTTTAAAGCACCCTAGCTTGAGTTAATGGATTTATTATTATCATGTTCTCATGGATAAAGCAGATGATATTGAGGGTGGTAGTTTAAGTGTTTGATCTCAATTTGGAGTAGTCCTTTGGTTCGTATATCTAAGTGGTTGACCCTTTGAAATTGATTTCGGGGCTTAAATTGGGATTGGGTAAAAAGATATTAAAGAGGACCTTGTGGTTTCATGTTCTGGAGTCCACAAAATGTCATTGCTGAATCTCTTTCAGCTTTGAGTTCTTTTCTTTCAGGTTGTAAGGTGAACTGGATCCGCCAATGGTACCCCATATATACTGCACTAAGCTTGCTCCTTTTTCCTTTTCTTTTCCCTCTTTTAGTTTCCGAGGGATGAAAGCTTTGAGTACTGGACAACAAAGAAGTAATGAAGTTTAGTCCCTCATGTTTAAGTATCAATGATGAACACTTTCTAATTAGTTGGTGGTGCATCCAGAAATCACAACACTCCAAAATATAAGGTGTGGTATTAGAAAATCCCCCAATTGAACTTTGCTTAAGATGGTGACATTTTCCAAGTTTGTTCAGTATGCTTAGATAGGGTCCATGTTCAGTCAAACATATCTGCATATTCGGCTAGGTGTTTTCTTTAATAGGAAAAAATTTCCAGAAATTTAATCATGAACCCACCAAGTCAACGTGGAAGAGTGAGTCTCTTAAGATTGCTTGGGAAGGGGATTAGAACCAGATCGTATTACCAAAAGAAAGGTCTGATTGAATACAACTATTTTTTGAAGGTTTTTGGTAGGTAGAAGTAGGGGTGGTTTCTTAAGTAATGCATTTGTGACAATGCAGCCTAATGCACTCTTTTAATTAACCGTTTATATGTCAGTTGACTGATTTGAAGAGGGTGGTAGGTGTTTCTCATTTTAATGCAATAAAGTGTAGATCTGGTAATTGTAATTTAAGAAAAGAGATCCAACTTAATTTTCTGCCCAGTTAAGGGACTCTTTTCCACTAATTCCTACTAAAATGCAAATTTGGAACTTGAATTCGTCATGTGATAGTCTGCAGGAAATAGTTTCAAGAAGTTGAGGTGGAGATATAACGAGTCTATTAATTAGATAAGTTGGTGCCAAACTCTCCTATAGTAGGGAAGGTTGGAAGTTGTTTTCCTTCTCTTTATAGCTTTCAGGAGATTGGGGTAACGCTGAACAAGATGAAGCCAAAAATGAGAAAACAAAAGAAAGATGTGATCAACCCAGAATTTCAGATCGAAGAGTATAAACAGTTTCTGATGGAATCCAAATGTGCGGTACATCTTATTTCTGTGATTTGTTTTAACATTTCAGTTCAAGTTGTTGGAAGTACGAAAGAAGAACAAATACCAAAAGTCCAAAACTCAAAATCACAGAGAATGGTGAGCTGGCTGAAATTCCCTTTTCATTAGTTAGTTTGGAAAGGCATCGAGGTGGGCCATATATCAACATGAAGATGTGTACAGAATAACTATCTGAAGGACTTCAAAACCTTGTTTCTCTTTGAACCTGTTACTAGCAGTTATATAAATAAATAAATAAATATAATCTACTACTATTTTTTTCTGGAAAATTGTCCTGTTGTGTAATGTAGGGGGGGATGAAGGCAAAGAATGGAAATTTCAAGATTTACTGGTAGAATTGGATGTTTCATGACCTGTGATGAGAGAGTGAACGAGTTCCTTTGGAAGAAAGGAATAATTCTCAGTTGGCTTTCTATTTGCTCTTGTAGTTAATTGTACGTAATGAATATGAAGGTGATGTGGCACATTTAAACTCTGCAACATGACCTGCTGTTTTTTCTATTAGGGATTGATGAACATCAAAAGATTGAAACAGGGAGGATCCTAGCTAGACAGATGCGTTTTGTGTATTAAATTCTGGTAGTTTGGTAATGGAATGGTGGTCCAAAATTTAGCCTCTTATGCCCTGGACCATGATCAAACAGACATGCTATCGGTGGTCTATTTAACCTGTTTATAAAATCTTAAATATAAAGTTTGAATTATTGTCTGTTAGCTTAAACTTTAAGATAATTGGTCCTCAATTTATCTTATTGATATGATCAAACATTTTTGTCTTTTGAGTAAAACCTGCAACTTACAGGCAGCCAGAAGTAAAACTTGCAGCAGTTCAGGGAATCTTTTTAAAATATTCAATGAAAAAATTGCACTAAAAAAATGAGAAAACCTAGATTCTTAACTTGACCCTGTTTAATTTTATTAATGGCAGGTTGTATTTATTGTCACAGTGGAACATAACCCATACTCACTTTCTGCAATGACAGCTTCCTAGGTTGAAGAACCTCGAAATCAAATCTGGTCCCCAACATCTTGAGCACAATTCATGGGTAATAATGGGGGAAGACAATGTGGGAAAATGTTGTGTTTGCTCAACTCCAAAGAAGTAATAATGCCATAACTTGTTGTGAATTGGTATGCAAAAATGAAAATTGTCTACACATCACTTTTAGGAACATCTCTTTAAAAAATCTCACATATTTGAAAATTTAGGATAATATTTGTCTGCATTTTTTCAGATTAAGTGTTTGAATCCTTGTCATTTTCACAACAGCTATGCAAATTCATTTCCCTGCATGGAAGAATCCAAGAAAAGCCTCCAAAAAAATTCCCTGGACAATCTTTCCATCTAAAGTTTCTATCTTTATTCCATATGATATTCTGTAATCGCAGGTTACCATCCCAAAGCAAAAATACTATAATAGCACAATTTTTTTTTCAGCTTATGTTTCTTGTTTCTCTTTTAAAGGCTTGTCCAATCAGTAATCATGTCCAAACTGTTGCCCATCTGACATATCTTTCATTAGTTAGTTATGGTGGCTTTCCTTCTTAACTCTGTAATCACAACGTTTCCATATTGGTAGTTGTAAAATTTTGATGAGGTAGATCCCGAGACAGCCCTCTAAAAAAACCTGAGATAATGAAAGATTTTATTTACCATCCACACCTTGAACTGTCACTCGATGAATGGCTCAAATGGGAAGAATAAAGGAATGAATGGAAATGATGAACCAAACAGTCACTAATATCAATATCAACAACAGAAAATTTCCCATGAAATATCTCCAAAATATCGCACTCAAGTCAAGCCTGTTCTGTCTCAATGAATTCTTACACATGAAATTTGCTTCAGTTTCGCTTTAAGAAATTAGTTAAACGGTTATCATGAAGTAATTATTATTACAATTAATGGGGTCTGAATTGTATTTTCCTATTTGCTTTTATGACATTTCTTTTAGAGCATGAAAGTTCAGGTTTATTCCGTAACTGATGGTGCGGAGTAATTGAGGCTAATAAAACAAGATGTGCGGTAAGCAGAGGCTAACTACGGCTCCGGGGGATCCTTCAGTCACTATTGTTTTCAGCTGTAGTGGGTGATTCTCAAAACAGATTTTAATTTGTGGGGACCAAAAATCACCATCATCAATTCATCATCATCACCATCAGTCCTGGCCCAGTGCTATCCTATAGCATTCAAAATTACTCCTCAATTCCATATGTTTATCAAGGGAATTTATCAAATTCCTCTTGTTTTGGCTCTACCTTGTGGCTTGAACATGATTATTATTCCCATTCATCCAATACTATATCGAGTTTAATAGTATATTGATACAGAAAAAACTAGGAGCCAGTAGCCAAATCTTCATTACTGCATCAATGTGTATCTTTTATTAGTTCAAAATTCAGAGTTATATTTTTATATTGCTAGAGTGGGATCAAGCCAAAAGTTTAATTGATGTCAATTTAATTAGGTTCTTAATTATTCTAATTAACATGCACATGAAGCTAAAGAACAAAAAGTAATGGTCTTGGATTTTAATTTTCATCAAGGAAAATTTAAAGTTAAGAAGAACCGTATTTAATGTACACGGCTGGATAGGAACATGGATTTCAGTTTCTTTTTTGCCTTTTTCATTTCTATGGCTGATTTTTGTTTTTGTTTTTGGTTTTTTTTCTTTTTTTCCCACCAGGAATTAGAAAAGACAGTCCACATGGGAAAACACAGAGAAGGAGAGTACTAATCTTTTGTCACCTTCAATCTTCCATTTTTTTTTAAATAGCATAGACAAGGTTGAGTAACTAATCAATGTTTCCATTTTCTTATGCCGAAGGCAAGGAAGAGTAACACCTCTTTCTTTCTGCCTCTTGACCCTCCTGTTCCAGTATATATTCCAATAGAAGGTGAAAAAAAATCATCAATTTCCAACTTCCTTTTCATTTTCTTTCTGGGAGTTTATCTGCAATGAAGAGCATAGCATCTTGTTATAGTGAACATGCCATTAAAGTGTCGGATTCCTATTGTTCAGGGCCTTCAAGTCAGGCCTATCTTTCTCCCAACCTTGCCCCTTCAACCCCAAATACTGTAACATGTATATACAAAGCTAAAATCTCCTCTGAAAGAAACCTTCTGATCACCCTCACATGGTGCAACAACCTCATAGGCCAAGGCCTAACAATCAACGTTGGCGAAAGCCTGTCTACTTCATCTAAATTCAATTCAAATTCTCACCAACTGAGAAAGAACAAAGGCAGCAAAACATTCAAATCTTGCAATTCAGAGATTGAAGTCTTTTGGGATGTCTCTAATGCTCAGTATATCAATGGGCCAGAACCAAGTACCAGGTTTTCTGTTATGGTTTTAGTTGACTCAGAACTGTGTCTACTTCTTGGGGATATGAATAAGGAACTACTCGTGAAAAACATTCAATCAGAACAGCCAGCTCCAAAATTCTCATTGGTTTCACGAAGTGAAAATTTCGTAGGTAGTACTGTTTATTCAACCAAGGCACAATTCTGTGATACAGGATTGGCTCATGACATTTTAATCAAGTGCAGTGGAGAAGAAGAAGGTTGGAGAAATCCTGTATTGTCCGTCTGCATTGACCAGAGGAAGATTTTTCAAGTGAAGAGATTGAGATGGAACTTCAGAGGGAACCAAATAATCTTCTTGGATGGCTTGATGGTGGATATGATGTGGGATTTACATGACTGGCTCTTTAAGCAAACATCAGGCTGTGCTGTTTTCATGTTTAGAACAAGGAGTGGGTTAGATACCAGGCTTTGGTTGGAGGAAAAAACCAGCAGCTTAGAACAGAAGGAGAAAGAAAGAGCTGAATTCTCCTTGTTGATCTGTGCTTGTAAGAGTCCTGACTAGTTCTTTGTTATTTGTTAATTCGATTGGTTTTTTTTTAGTATCATCTAAAGTACGTTTCTTTTTTTTTTTAAATACTTTTAATTGTAAATTTTTAAATATTAAAGAAGATAATACTTAATCTTCTGATTATAGGAAAATTATATGCTTAACTTGGAGTGGAGGAAATGAATTTTTAGAGTTTTAGAGATTGAATTGTAAAATGAAACTTCTTCAAGGGATTGCTTCTCTGTCTTTACGTCTCTTTGTCCCTTTGTCATACTGTTAAACAGGCACGGATAAGGCAAAGTTTGTACCTTTTTTTTCCTTGATGGTGGGATTTCAAAGAAACTTTTCCTTCACCCCTCCTTTCCCTCTTTCTCCTTCCTCCCTTTCCTCTACTCTTCCTTTCCTTTCTCCTTTTGCCCTTCAGGTTCAGGAACCACAACTTTTTGTCTCTTTCAGCATGTTGAATAAAGAAGGAATGGTCTTACTCAAATGGTAGGGAGCCACATGTTTAGATTGAAGACATGAAACTGATTGGATTCTGAATCACCCATAACCAATAGGAATTCATATATAGTTTCCCTTGCTTTGGAATTTTTTGGTTATGGAACCCAAAGATGCAATTTCCTAGCCCTTGAGGGGAAGGGGAAAAGGGTTCTTTTGGCTTTTTGCCGCGATTAAACCCAAACCAGAAACAGGAACCTTTGTAACTTTCTACCAAATAATAATTTAAAAAAAAAAAACTCAGTAACTGCCAAAGTTTTGCCCTTTTTGGTTTTCCATTCATTTCTCAGTAAAATAAGAAGGTAAAAATATCTACCAAACAAAAATAATTGATTTGTAAGATTAAAATATGACACTAACTTTGGGACGAATGATTCTCCTGTGTTATATTTTCCGACATTTTTATTTGCATGATTCACATTTAAATTTCTTATTTTGTAAATTTTTATGTATTTGCTTTCCTTGTAAATATGACTCAAGATCTATCACTACCAACCCTATAATTAATTTACAAATATAGAGCAAAGAGAAAGTATTAGATTATCTATTCCCAAATATATATTGAAATAGCTATTTTAATTATATGTTATATTTTGATTTGTTGAATTTATAACAGTTAAATGTGTATTATTAATAAAGTTTTTGATTGAGTTTGATATCAAAAGTCAAATAACAATAACTCCATGCATTAATGAAATTATAAAAAAAAAAGTCATAGTAAATATATCAAATATAAATATAAATATCATGTAAAATGTCTATAAAGATTTAATTTTTTTAATTATCTTTTAAAAAATTTCACACATACATTTGATAAAAACTACGCCTTCAATCTCATTTTTTTCACTTTTTTTTTCTTTATAATGGGTGTATAAAAATTTAGTATAGTAAAAATAATTAATACATTGTAATATTTATGAAAGTAATAGATCGTGCAAGGATTATAATCTTTACTCAATAATGAGCTGGTTGAGCCAGCATCAAATCCTCGCCAGTCGCCATTACCCCACAATTCAGTTTGGAAGGCCATTTGCAGCTACAATGTTCACAAACAAACCTTTAATCTTTAATCTATCTATCCAACCCTTCATTTGTGTTTTTTTTTTTTTTTTTTTGGCCCTTGATGATAATGATTGATAAGAAATTAAGGCCAGAATTTATTTTTAGGAGCTACGATTTAACACGTCTCTATTCTGTCTCATCTAATGTCACAACTTCCCTTTCAATAAAGTGTATTAAAAATAAAATTAGACTCAAATCATGCTGGGTAAAAAACGTTTTTAGTTGTTGTCCTCCTTTGCTATAAAAAATTTAAGATTCTTCCATTGTTTTTCAAAAATAATCTTAAATAAATATATGAAAGTCAAAGTTTTTGACAAAAATGAAAAAAATTTTATGTTAATCTACTTTTTTTTTTTGACATGCGGATAGTCTATGTTAAAGTCATGTGTCCACTAATTAATGCGTTTGATTTAATTTAATACATTTTTAATTTAAAAATAATTTATTTTAATTAAATTAATTAAATTTATTTGTTTTGAATATCTAATATCCTTGCCTTCTATGATTGAATTATGATTAATTTGAACATTAATACAAAAAATTAAAATTTAAGAAGAAAGCTCATTAATGGTTAATATTTTTCTATATCTTCTAATTGGTATTTATGATCTTATGGACACATTAGTTTTCTATAACAATTAACTTGCAATATAAAATTTCAAATCTTGACTTATGGAGCGTGAAGTATAGATTTTCTAAAACAAAAGCATAAACAAGTTGGGTTTTTTTTTTTTTTTTTCAAAAAGAACTTATTATAATTGGTTTGCATAACTTACGCCTAAATTTTTTTTTTATGTAAGTTATGCCTAAATTAATTCGCAATTAAAACTTATATAAAGCGTTTCTATTGATTATGTTCTACTCAAAAACATATCTACTATAAATAGGGTATCATGATATGATAAAGTACACGAGAGGCTATTCTCCAGTTTCATTGGCTTTGCATCTAGGTAAAGCTCCACGCACCCAATTCACTTAGTATTTTTTTTAATAATTTATATTTCAAATTATGAGTGCTTTGATTAGTTTTTGTTTTTTACCTTTATCATGTAATGAAAATGAAAACTTAATTTGAATGTTTACAATTTCTTTACAGTTCTAATTTGAATAATTACCTTTATCACTTTGTATCTTTTTCCTTTACAATTTTTATCTCTATTTGTTTCGTCATGCTTGATACAAAAATTCTCAAATATTTCATGAAATTTGGCCTCCAACTTGAAGATTAAAGTGTAACCATAAAAAAAAATATAATATTCTTCAAACTTGATTAATTTATTTCATAAGTCAAATGTAAGTGGTTTGTTCATCTTCTTTGCTAAAATTGAAAAATATTACACTTTTTTTATGAAATTTTGTTATAGTATTCTGTTGTTTTTTGCTAACTTTCTCTTTTTGACCCAAGTAATTATAATATTCTTGATATACACTGTTGTATTTGGTTAAGGAAACTGTGTTCATTCCAGGTTCTCTATAATATATGTAGTTAATGTATAATTGATAAATGATATCTGTTTGTTGTCTAACATTTGAGTTTATTTTTTTCGTTCGATAAATGTGCAGGGCTTAAGGCGTCTACATTTCCTATTGGTGCGAAATCTGGGGGTTTTTTTTTTTGTTATTTTTTATTTTATATAGGCTATAAATGCTTAATAATGATCGAGTAATCCTTCCTAATTATATTGTTAAACATTTATTTATCTGCTAAACTACAAATCAATATTTTTTAATTAAAATATCTTATATTTATATAAGATATATAAAAATAAAAATTTTTATATATCAAGTAACTGTCGTATTGAATAGTCTAACTTTTTAACACAGGAAAAACCTTGATAATTGTCATATACCTATTACTTAACATTTTTTTATTTAATTTGATTTGATATTGATGAAATTAATGTTATTGATATAAGATAAAAATTTTTTAATTAATTTTAATTCTTAATTGATTTGATTTTGACTAAATTAATTATATTTACCTTTTTTAAAAAAAATGTAATCAAAATGAAATTAACGATATTATATTTCTAAGTTTTAACTTAAAAAAAAAACTTTCGGTTAATAGATACAATTATATTTAATTCAAATAAAATAAATATACTTTTCAATTAACTAATTGTTGCAACCCTAAATATAGAAAGTCAAAACATTTGCTTGATTGTTGCTATGATTATGTTTAGGGAATAATTTATATATAGTTAATATTTGACCATCGTTTAGATTTTATTAAACAAATATAGAAGGTCTTACTATATGCACATTAATTTAGTGAGAATCGAATCAAAGTATCTTTTGTTTGATCATGCGTGAATAACTTTGATTTTTAATTTTTTAATATAGCAACAATTGGTTGCATTGACCCTATAAATATAATTTAATTTAGTACATTATTAATTTAAAAATAATTCAAAAAACTAAATTGATTATATTTATGTTTTTAATATTAACTTTAAATCACTCTCAATTCAATTAAATCAATTAATATATAATTAATAAATATTTCAATATCAATCAATATATTAATAAATACTATAATTACATTTATAAAATAATTGATTATAATTAATCTACTTCCTTAAAATACCAAAAATTGAGAGTTTTTTTTTTTTTTTTTGTAGATATAGCAACAATTAGTTGCATTGACCCTATAAATATGATTTAATTTAGTACATTATTAATTTAAAAATAATTCAAAAAATTAAATTGATTATATTTATATTTTTAACATTAATCTTAAATCTCTCTCAATTCAATTAAATCAATCAATATATAATTAAAAACTATTTCACTATCAATCAACATATTAATAAATACTAATAAATCAATCAACATATTAATATAGCAACCAGAGATCAATGGAGGTTGAAGGTTAGAATTACAAGGATATGGGATGCTATCAACTCCAAGACTGGAACCTTGATCGGTTTAGGAATCGTTGTTTAGATGAGCAGGTTTTGTCTCTAACTTTAAGACTATTACTTTTACACTTTCATATATCAATATTACAAAGTTCTGAACTCTTTCTTTCTTTTCTATTTTAAATTAATATTAACATGTTTATCTATATTACATATTTTAGAATCTTGCTTGACATGATTTTTCAATATGTTTCTACTGAAAAACATATATAAAGTTTTATACAGTATACATTTCTATTCTAGGACCAATAGGATATTGAGTTTTGTTTGTTGTCTTTTGCTTGAATTTTCAACTATTAGATTTAAGACCTGCAGGATATTCTAATCAACCTTATATATAAAGTTTTGTTGCTCTTCTTGCCTTTCTTTTGCTTCTTTTTCAATTGACTAAAACCAACAGCTGTGATCTTCACATTGCTGATAATTGCAGCAACTAGCTCTGGATCTGTGCATGCTTTCATCAATTCCTTCTCACTGTTACTTGCTTCTAGCATGTGACTAAACAGCCTTTATTTTGCTTGAATTTTTAACTATTAGATTTAAGACCAGCAGGATCTTGTAATCAACCTTATATATAAAGTTTTGTTGCTCTTCTTGCCTTTCTTTTGCTTCTGTTTCAATTGAGAAAAAATTTAAATAACTTTAGATAACTTTTTAAATAATTAGGATATCCTGTCCATCTTCTTCACAAGACCAGTAGGATATAGATAAAGTTTTGCGGCTACAGAAGAATACAAATGAAAAAAGAGTTTAAAAAAAAATGGCAAACATGCTTTGGACTCAATATAAGAGAAAACTATTACTGCTTTTTTTCAGTTTTAATTTTTTCCAATAGTGGTTACGTCCTTCCTATAAGCCAGCTGACTGTAATGATGAGATCCCATACAAATTCAGTACCATCTCGCACTCATATTTTGGTTTCTATGCAAACCAGTTTTGGCCAAGGGGTCAATAAGTGATCCTAAAGCTAATTCGTCGGTGGCTGTCTCCACTTTGTATAATGAAACTTTGT